AAAACATGTTATTTTCACGAATTATTTAATGCCCAAACATGGAGACATATTACAAGACCGAATTTTGTCCTTCAATTTCTGAAATTGATTACTAGAATTGTAAACATTCAAACCACACATTCTTATTTAAAAGATTTTATATTATTCAATGATAATTTATATATATAATCAAATGCGAAAATTTTGATAAATCTGTGAATGAAAAACAACTTGTTGAAAAACATATTTAGTTCTGTGACATTATTGTGAGATTTCGACTTCGAATTTTAAAATATTTTATCCAGATTTCGCTAGTTCCTACTTCCAGTTGAACGAAAAAACTACAGTGTGTTTAAGACATAGATGCTGTTGATATTCTTTACCTATCCTCAATTTTTTGAATTTCTTTTCTTTTCTTGGAAGAGATTAAATGTGAGGCATGAAGTGTGCATTATTTTAAAGATTTCAGTTACAAATTGTTATTTGGATTCTATTATTATAAGTTAATATTTTTTATTATATTTCATATATAAAAAAGAATTTTTAGTTATTTAAACATTACGTAGTAGAAAATGAAATAATATTTTATAATAATGTATATACGAATTTTTCCCTATAAAATATCCCCACTTAGAAACATAATCTAAATTTCATTGATTGAACAAACATTTTCTAGTATTTCCTTGACTCATTCAAATGATCATAGTCGAATGCTGTAAAAGGTTTAATCTTCCTTTATAGACGAAATTGAATTTCGAGTAAGATGGTTAAAGCTCGAGAACTTGAACCACTCGAACAATAGACGAGCATCTCAAATTGACTTGTACTATATTTATTTGACATAGGTATTCAATACTCTTCTTAAGATTGTCTGTTATTGCACTTAGATATTCTTGTCATCAATGGTATAATATCGACTAGATATCATGCACCATACTTTATAACATGAACGTAAGTCGTTTGCATTATCGATTCTAGTATAGTATATAGCAAAATACATTTGTTCTTTCAATTCATAGATGCAGATCTCAAATGTATGAGTGGAAATATTCCCGAAGCTTACACGTATTGTTCTTAGCATGATTTAAAAGCTATTTTGTTGATAACTTGAGTGGTTCAAGGATAAAAGTATGTTTCAAAAAGAATGTTTTTAGCTAAAAAATTGCATGGGTCCAATGCTCTAAACAAAATGGAGGATTAAAGGCCTCAAAATTCGTAAATGATATCTGGACACCACAAATCTGACTGTCTCCCCATTCTAGAATTTTGTCAAATTTTAATAACACGTGATGTGACTTCTTTAAGGTAGACATTTTTATTGGGAACCGTTTTAAGATTATTTTTATTTTTATTATTATGTTTTTTTTAATGGGTTCACATTCATCTAGAATTAACAACTTCAATAGTTTAAAAAAAAAAAAAAGGTTGAACCCCAATTTTGAGGGCCTCATCATCCTGCCTCTAGAGCTTTGTGAGGGAGGTAAATCGAGGGATGTGCCCCAACAGGTCAGGGAACAAGAGCTGCATGTACACTGCGCCTACAAGGAGTCAAATTTCATGTTTTAGGAATCGAACTCTCACACTGCGGCTGTCAGCAAGGCGTGAGATGACTCCATTCCTGCCCTTTGCACCACTAGACTATGCCCGGGAGCTACAACTTCATTAGTTTACATTTATTCAAGATTGTTAACAATGTCATTAATAAAATTAAAACGTGAGTATTATTTAGTTTTAAAGTAAAACAGCCTAGAATTATTATTATTATTGACCTTTTGGGGAAAATTTTAGGGTAGAGGATAGTGAAAAATGAAAGGGCCAAGTAAATCAAGTTAAAAGAAGACATGTAACTAAATAGAATAAAAGCAAACACAGAAAGTCCAAACAATTTGAGGAATAATAATATCATCGATCAACATGATTGTGATATGTTATCAATGATTTTGAAAAACGATGAAATATGACTAGCGTGTAAAACACTGAGGAGACTAAATGACCTAGTTGTCTTTGAAATGTGTATGAACGAACCACAAATTTGGATTACATCAACACGCATGACAACTATTTGGTTCCACCACCACTCATCTCCTGAAAATGACATTTTACAATTTTTGTGATTTTTTTGGCCCTCGATTTTTGTTCATCTTTCGCTTTGTTGCTTCAATTTAAAAGGGAAAAAAAAAATCTTTTCCTAAAATTTCCATCTCTAAACCCAACTTTACAAGGTTGGTTTGATTATTGTGCTTGGAATCTCTTCATCTTATTTTTAACTTTGCAAGGTTACCTAGGTTACCTAGCTAGTTAGCAATATTTTTTTTCTTTTAATTTAATTAGAAAAGAATTTTCATTTCTAATAAAGCATTTATTTTAACTAAAAGAATTTAGGTTGTTGAATGATAAAAAGTAACGCCATATTTTCATATAATAAAATAAAATATTACTATTATATAATCAAGTTTTATTGAAACCATGTTTTAATAATTAGATTTTATTTCATATTAATCATTTCTAAACATTTAACATAGATATAATAACATTAACTTAATACACTTATATAATAAATTTTCATTAAGAAATCCAACATAAATATTTCTAAAGAAATAAGTAATAGGGCAAATTACATGAAGCTCAGTAAATGTTTACGACAATAATAGAGAACTCGACTCCCTTTAAAAAAAAAAAAATTGAAACCCTTATCTCTTAGTACATGTGATTGATTTATTATTATTTTTTTTTTTATCAATTTTTCAAACCACACATCACATTAGACTTACAAAAGTTTTGTCACAAAACCCTAAGTTTTCCATTTTACCAATCTCTTACGCCTCAATTTGGTACCGCTCTCGCGGCCCACACCGCACTCCTATGTATACATCAAGAGTCCATTGATAAGAAGGGATTGGGGAAAGCTTGAAACCCTATATGCTGTCGGAGTAAAGAATCATCAACAAGGGCGTTCTAGTGCGTTGTGTCGTGTTGCTAGGCGAAGCAGCACGAATGCTGCACCCTAGATGGCGAAAGTCCATCTATATATATGATTATATTTGTTTTCTATTTTAATTTAGACAAAAATAAATTGTTTAGTTTTAAAAACCTTTCTTTATACTAAGTGATTTCATTTTTTATTTTTTTATTTTTTGAATTTTGAATTCTCATTAAACCAAATTAACCAATGAACAAATTGAAATTGATCTATAATATTTATTGCAAAAATAAAAGAAAAGGAATCTAAGATATAAACTTCCGGAGCCATTTTTTGCACATATAATTTATAAAAATATTATTTAATTCTATAATATTAATATAATTATAGTATATAAAAGTCAAGAATATAAAAAATAAAAAATAGAGAAATGCCATTAAATCTAGAAATAGATAATATTTATTGAATTTTCAATTAGCTTCAGAATTTTCAAAAACATTTATTTATGTTGTTAATTATTTTTCAATCACATTTGCAATAACAACAACAGAAATAATAATCACATTCTGTTTTAAGAATAATAAATTTTAATATCAAAATATTATAGAGGTGTTAAATGAAAAATAAATATTTATGTTTTGCAAAAGAAATTGTTACCAAAAGTAAACATAAAGTTTATGTAATTTCCTCTAATGAATAATTAAATTAATATATATTATATAAAGCTCGTATTAATGCAAAGCTTCTTCATATAGGCTCCGTTTGGTAGCCATTTTTTTTAAAATATATTTTTCTCTCTCTTCTTTTCAACCACACATTCTTTATTAAAATAATATTACATATAAATGAAAAACTTTTTCTTATTTTTTAACTACACATTTCACATCAATTTACTATTCTAAAATACATTTTTATATAAAAATGTCTATCAAACACTTCCATAGTCTAATATGCGTTACACTTTTTAACACAGTTTATAGCCCATAAACGTGTTGAAAAGAAAGACTGCATTGAATATAATTCTAGTTGAATGGTCGTCGCGCTTTTATGTTAAACCCAATTTGATAGAAATTAAAATTGAATTAAAGTTAATAATTATTTTTAATTATATATTTTTTTGAGGTTCACAATTTTTTAATTAGATATTTTATAAATTTTTATTAGACGTATTTAAATTTTGATTATAACGGTACCAAATAAGAGTTAAGTATTTTTTTTATTTTTATTTTTTGAAGAAGAAAGAATCATTTTTCAATTGTACAATCCTTTCCAGCAAATCAGTGTACTTACTTACATCTTCATCATCATGGTCATGGTCAAACTTAGCTTTTAAATTACACTTTTGTTTGGATCAACACCCATTTTTAGACAAGCAATTAACTTCTAATTTTAGTATATTAGTAAAATAAGGTATTTTGTTAGTATACACGACCGGTTTCATAGGATATTTGTATTCTATTTCTATATCTTGTAGAAATTTTTTTAGGAAATAATTTTAATCCAATTTTGTCTAAGATTCTCTTTTTAGTAAAAAATGAAACCTTCAACAAATTATACAAACGTGTTAAAAAATAACTTCTTAATTTTATAAACAATTTTTGACTTTTTAAAAGTCTTACCAAAAAGGTCCTTAGTATATTGGTTATTGTAAATATTATACAAAAATGAAGAATGATCTACTGAGCATTATTGCTTTGTTACATAACGTTTCAATTAATTGGTGAATCATTTAAATTTTTGGGATCTTGAACGGACTTATTCATCATTATGCTAAGTCACTAGCAAAGATTATATCTTGCACAAGACAACCTTCTACAGTTAAAATGAAATGAATAGATGCTATTCACAATAATCAAAACAAACCAAAAAAAAGTTGGGTTGGAGAGGGAAAGATGATCTTGTTTCTTTTAAGTGAAGCAATAAAGAAGGAGTGAGAAATGAAAAAAGAAAGCTAAAAAAACTCCAAAAAAGCTGTAAAAGGTCATTTTCAGGGAGGGATGGAATTTTTGGAGTATCTATCCCTCTATAGTCCATACACCCAGAACCCCACACCAGGCCAACCCCCCCTCCCCCATCCACATCCACCAAACCAATAGAATTGGTGGGCTGGTTCTTGTATTAGTATTTGTATAGGCTGTACAAAAATAGCAGGTGCAGAGGGCCAGTGATTAGATTACAGAAATCTTTAATCTACTTTCTGACCAAACACCTGCTAATTGAAGAAAACTTGTCCTCTTGTTTCTTGGTTCAAAACCCACCTCATAGGGATTCTCGAGTAAATCAAGTGTTCTCTTTATATTCCTGCAAATTTTGTTGCTACAATTTTAGAAAAGCTTAGCTGCTTAAAAGTGAGTAGTAGTATGAAGAAGATGGGTTAGCCTGAAATTAGAGTATAGGCTTTGGTGGGGGGTGTGATCTCCTCTCTCTGTTTAAAGTGATGGAATTTGGAAGGTTGAATGGCAGAGGCTTTTGGGATAGGCAGCAGATATTACAGAACAAGAAGAAAGAGGAGAAGAGTGAGAAGCAGCAGCACCAAAAAAAAGCCAATCACTGAAAATAAGTAAAAGTTTGTTTGAAAAAAAGCTGGAACAAAAAAAGAAAAACAAGGTTCTGAGTCTGGATCCTCTGAGGAATCCTCATCTTTATCCTAATCAGAACCAGAACCAGAACCAGCACCAGAACCAAGTTGTTGGAATCTCAAGAAATGTAGAAGAAGAGGAAGAGGAAAAAAACCACCGCCGTCGCCGCCACCAGGAGGAGGAAGAACAAACACAACCATTGTCGCCGCCGTCGTCCCATGGCCATCACCACCACCACCAGCTCCATCAGTCTTTAGAGTTTTTCCAGCAAAATCAGCCGTCAATCTTTGGAAGTTTAGAAGAAATACCATCACAACAACCGCAGCAACCCAAGAAACGTTCGTACAATCCTTCGGCTTCATCATCCCTGGAGCCGGCCGGAGAACATGCAAGATTGCGGGAGAATATAGGGGAAACTTCTCATCACCGCCAAATGTCGTCAAGATTGAGGAACACAGGCGGGGAGATAGTGGAAGTTCAAGGCGGCCATATAATCAGGTCCACAGGACGAAAAGACCGGCACAGTAAAGTCTGCACCTCTAAAGGACCAAGGGACCGCCGTGTTCGCCTTGCCGCACATACTGCCATTCAGTTCTATGATGTCCAAGACCGCCTTGGATATGACCGCCCGAGTAAGGCGGTAGATTGGTTAATAAAGAAGGCCCAAGCAGCCATTGACGGCCTTGAGCAACTGCCGGCCTGGAAACCCACCACTGGTTCTTCGGTAGATGCAAGTTTTGAGCAAGAAGATGCACAGAAGCTGTTTGCTGAAAATCACCGGCAACATCATTTGGGTACTAATATTGCAGGGCCTTCGAGTAAAAGGGCAATGACAATGCTGGGAAGTGAAAGTGAGCAACAAGGCTTGCACCAGAGGGGCAATGTGAATCCGAACCCGAGCTTTCTGCCCCCTTCGTTGGACTCCGATGCCATTGCGGATACTATCAAGTCCTTCTTCCCAATGGGTGCTTCGGCCGAGTCCAGTTCCTCAGCTATGCAGTTTCAGAGTTTCGGAACTTCCGATTTGCTGTCAAGACCCAATAATCAGAGTCAAGATCTAAGGCTTTCTTTGCATTCACTTGAAGATCCAATTTTGCTCCACCACCATAACCAACAACAGCCACAGGAGCATCAAAATCCCATTCACCACAATGAACAAACACATGTTCAATCACAAGCACAAGTCCTATTAAGTGGCACCCCACTGGGGTTTGATGGCACTGCTGGCTGGTCCGGGCAACACCAGCAGATGTCAGAAATCACCTGGTTCCAGAGGTTTGCAGCTTGGAATGCCGGTGGAGACGCCGGTACTGGTAGTGGTGGAGCAGCAGGATACTTGTTCAACTCTCCGTCAGTGCCTCAGCCACTGTTACAGCAGCTGTTAGGCCAAAACCAGTTTCTTTCTCAGAGGGGACCCCTTCAGTCCAGTAACTCACCTTCGGTTCGTGCTTGGATGGACCCATCAGCCATCGCTATTGCTACGGCTGATCATAGCCAACAGCAGCAGAGCCATCCTGCAGTGTTGCCCATTTATCCATCTTCACTACCTGGCATTGGATTTGCCTCAGGAGTGGGTGGATTCTCTGGGTTTAACATTCCAGCACGAATTCGGGGTGATGAAGAGGAGCACGATGGTTATTCCGACAAGCCATCCTCTGCTTCCTCTAATTCTCGTCATTGAGTTCAACTCACATAAAAAGAGAATACTCTCTTGCATTGACAGGTAAAATCCTCAATCCCATTTTTCAGTTCTGTCAAGTCTCAACTTGTTTTTCTATCCATTTTTAGTCAAGAATAATGATATGCTGTTACAATTGATGGAATTTTCAGGAATTTATCTCTTTGCCAGTGGGAGAAATCAGGTAGTACAACATATCCAAGTTTTTGCTGCTCGTGGTTCTGAACGAGGAGAGTTACTTCGGTGAGTTAAATCCAATGGCCACTGCCATGGGAAGAAGAATTTTGAGTCTAGTTTCAAATTTTTCGATCCCAGTTTGCTATTCTACTTTGTTGTCTAATAGTGCTCACTTTCACGTGTTTATTATCTGGGTGAGCTCGTAGCTCAACTTTGTTTCAAGCTATTCTACTACTTTCTGTTTTTGTTGTTAAGACTTGTTCTGCTACTACTGTCCTTTTGTTTTGTTGCTGCTTTTCGATGAATTCTCAGGTAATGAATTTAGAATTTTGAGGAAGCTGTGTTTTCCATGAAATTAAACTTCATATCTACTACATTTGGACAAAATCTGGTTGTCAAATTCAGTGTTATTAATTGCAGTGTCTCATTTGTTTGGAAATGTTCAATTTGGGGGGTGAAAAGGAGTTGTGATTTATTGATTGTCTGCGTTACTGCCTTCTTCGAAACGTTACAGCTCAAGCCTTTATCAAAAATCTTTGGCCAGCAAAAAGAATTGAAAGAACTAATGATCTTTTACATCTGTCCTTGCTTGGACTTGCAGGGATCATTGTGATAAAAGTCGTTTTCCATGAAATTTAAAGCAGTTTTCTAAGAACAAGTCATCTTTCGATGTGGAACCGGCATGTATTTTAGCCCCTGTTTGGTCCCCCATTTTTTGAAGTGAAAATGGGTGGAATAGTTTTTTATTTTTTTATTTTTAAATGAGTGGTTAAAAAAGAAGGAAGTTTTTTCAATTTACGTATAATATTATTTTATGGAAGATTGTGTGGTTGAAAATAGGAGAGAGAAAAATGAAATGTAATGTAATGTAATGGGAGGCTAAACGGGGGCTTAGTATCACTTATCTAAGAATGAGTATGCTTCTATAGTCATAACTAGGCTTGAGCAGTACCTGATTGGGCCGGTATTCCATTTGTTTATACGTGTTTCTTAAGATTGGTTTGAGAGGGCAAACAGTTAAGTTTGAGTACAACTCTTAAATCTTGCTACTTTATGCTGTATAAACTACAATACTTGAACTTGGCTCAAGTTTTACTCATTAAAGCTCCATTGACCTTAACCTAAACAAATGGTACATTTGGTTGGGAGGATTTGATAAGAAAAAGAACCTTTTAATCTCATTCGTTATCCTAACAAACGTACTAGGCTGAGAAAAGATATACAACCAAAAAGTCTTTTGAAGTTGGCTCATCTTTGAACTTGAGAGACTGTACTCAGATTATGTAAGTATGCTTTCAGTGTTGCAATAGATGAAGGGAAGATGAATCAAGTGGGAGCTTAGTGGAATTTCGCTTGCGTTAGCAGCATGTTCGGCTCAACTCAAAGTTATCTGAACTTATCTTTTAATTCAATTGGATTAGTTGCTTTTTTCTTAGAAGTAAAAGAATTTACTTATTTTTGATGGTAAGGTAGAGTGTTATTAGAACAAACCAGCTATTATTTATCCATGAATGCCACCAACTATGATACTTAGCCATCAATTACTGGTCCCTACCCTGCAAGTCTTCGCTGTCTTAAAATTTAGCATAGCTGGAAACTGTTCTTCACCTTGGGAAAAATATAAAGAAAAGCGTTTGGCTTATATTGAGATGGTGACAACCGCTTGATGGTTGTTGGTACATAATGGCTGATAATTATCATCTCAAAGGGCAGAATAAGTTCAGTCTTCAAGTCATTTGTACACTGCCATAACTCATTTCTGAAGGTCTGAAACTAGGAAATTTCTTCAATGCTATTTAGGGCATTTAGAGTGACAGTTGTAAGAAAAAAAAATTGTAAAATCCTAGTTCAGAAGAAGGCAAGATCCATGAACAATGTACCTGTCAAGGGGTACATTATAGTTTGAGTTGAACCATATTTCAGTTCAAGTCATCAGATTCTTTTTTATATATATCCCTTTACGATATGTTTAGCATGCTGAACTCATAACTGCCCGTGTAACTCTTCTTAAATCTTGTCTGAGTTACTGAACATGATATACAACCTACCTTTTCATCCCAAGCCCCTGCTTTCCTTGCCAATGTCATAAGTTGTGAGTTATGGACAGTGTTATCCGATACTGAGAAAAAAGGTAAAAGATAAAAAAATTGGCCTTTGTCTTAGCTTGAAGGCCAAAAAATGGCTTCTTTTTTGGCTTTTGAGCTAAAAAGAAGCGGAACATGCTCAATTTGAAGTAAGGATTCCTATATAATGTTGCATACCAAATATTCCCTTGAAGTTTATACAGTTGTCATGGGGATGAGTTCTTGATTGGTATTCTTGAATCTGATGAAGAAATAAAATAGAGGCCGTACTGTTGCTTCCCTAAAGCGATCAAAATGGCTGGGGACGAAGCATGGATAACCATAAATTATCTTCAAGTTGCACCACGCTAGTCCATATCAAACGCTGGTCTTTGATTCACCGAACTTTGTTCCAAACTACCACGTCTAGTTTGATTGTTTCTATCGTCAACACAAGTGTGGATGTTTTACCTGGATTCCTATCAATGAAGGATGAGCCTCAGTAACCGAAGTCAGGATAATTTTATCTAAGTCTTCGTCGAGCATTTCCTTGAATCAGATTATTTAAATTGTGGTGAGGAAGATACCTCGATAGACAAAGAATCACCGTGGGAGGACCTTTTGGATGGATACCAACAAATTTTTTATTAAAACAATCTTTGTTGATGGTTTAGAAAGATGTTCTTTCGATATGATACTTTTTCACTCATTACAGAACAGATATCTCCGACGATTTCATTGTCTTAACATATGCCAAGCCTCGAAATATGGCCCATAACTCAGTTGTTAAGCTTTAACATGTGTCGATTTCCATTGGTCATTCGTGATAAGTCCCCCAATTCCTTTGAATGTGATCGTGTTTCAATTGGGCAAGTTTCTGTATATTTCTGCATAGTTGAGATGGATCGATGAATTTTCTTTGAAGCTCTCAAATTCCCATTCTTCCAAATCATCCCATTATACAAGACGGAGTGCCCCATCTCATATCATTAGTTGTAAGGTAATTAGTATTCGCACATTAGTTAATTAGCTCATTTTTGTTTCTGGGGATATTTTCTGGCCAAATATTTTCTAAACGTTGGAAAATATTTTGTCAAACTTTTGTATTTGTTGTTTATCTTACTTATTTAAAAATATGAGGGGTAGAAAAGTCTTTTTACTCTCTCATAACGGACTTTTTGATCGTCAACTGGAACAAAATGTGCTAGTTTATAAAAAGTTGCGGATAAAATATGATTGAAAGTACGAAAATGAGAAAAAGCTCAGAATTTTAACTGTAATTAATATGTGGCGTTGTTAACCAAAACTCGGTGCAAATATAATTATCCTAAATTGTATTGCCTTCTTGAAGTCGCAAATTTCATCTTAACCAGTTTGGAAATGAACCTTAGGGTGTGTTTGATAGGGTGGAAATAGAATTGGAAGATAGAATTGGAATTGGATTTTCCAACTTTAGGTGTTCGATACATTTTTTTTTCCATGAAATTCGAATTCTTGATTGTCTTGAAGTTTGGACTTTTCTTGGTTTTTAAGGAATTTCCTACCTATTGTAGCATTTTTTTTTGTTGGCAACAGAAACAAATTTTAAAAATTATTGTAAAAAAATATTTCTCTTTAATTGACAATTTTCATATAAAACAAAGCTAAACGAGCATTGAAAGATAGATGATTTTTTTGAAATTTTTGTTTTTTGTTTTAGTGTTGGCAATGGAAATAAATTTAATCCCCAATACCAATAAAATTTATCCCTTTAATTGACAATTTTCATGTAAAATAAAACCAAACGAACACTAAAAAATACTTTTATTTCAACATTTTTCACGTGAAAAATTATACCAATATAACACAATAATTTACAATTCTCAGGAAAATAATTCTAAACAATTTAATTTCATCTTTGCAATCAAACGGATCATTAGTAATTTTCAAAATTAAAAATTTCTCAAGACGAATCAAACATCCTCCATATGCTTTAGGTATTCTTTATATAACTCCACATCTAGCACGTGATGGTTCTCTTCCTATATTTCTATAACATGCAGCAGCATTTGTGAAGAAATCCATTTATGCTTATTTAATTTTTAAAATTTGCTTCCTCGAGAGATTATAAGCCCTTTTAAATTAGGTTTTTTTTTCATTTTTTTTCTAGAATACTTATAAGACAAGATATTGACCCAAAGAGAGTTAAAATTCTGTTTAGTTCTCTCTGAATTTCTTACTCCTCACTACTTAGAATATTAATGCTATTTACTACTTTGATTTTTTGCTTTTGCCATTCGCTAACGCTAACCACAACTACAGGAGAAAAACTTCAATAGGATAGTTCTATATGCATATGTGGTAGGGATGTTTATTTAAATCACGACACTTCGTATCTCGAGCCATTCAAAATGCAACACCTAGATATTCGTTGTGTTAAGAGATAAGCAAAGTGGGTGTGTGATGTCGAAGAGATAGCATTTTGAATGGCTTGAGGTTCATGATGTAATGATTTGAATTGACGATCCTATCACATGTGCATATAGAGTCCTATTCATCGTGCCCCTAAGCCAAATACCAAATTTGATCTTTATCTCATTTTTTAAAATTCATATAAGGTGCCTTTTTTTTTCCATCCACTTGAACACAATATAGAAATGTCAAAGTACTTATCCACTGTCTCTGGAGTCAAAACCTTCTTAATTAGTCGGTAATAACAAGATTAAAGATAATGCAAACCCTTTTAAAAATTTCTATTCATCAAACACTTAAATAATTTTTTTCATAACATTTAATACTTTATCATGAAAAGCATTTTTATCATCCAGCGTTCATTATTATAATTATTTTTTCTTGGTATCATGCCTTTGTCCATTATAAAATAAGTAAAAAATGTAAAATAAGCGTAAATTTTTACAAGAACAATAGTCGTAAATTTGAGTTGCTCGTCTAATACAAAAATCTTAAAATGCATTTGTGTTGGATTATAGTCTAAAATATTAATTTCGAGAACTTTGAAGTTAGCAAAATCTTGAAATAGGATAGTGTATTAACCACTTTAAAAGATGATAGGGTCCATATACTTAAGTCATAGGCAAGGCTCCACCCGCTAAGGACATGAAATGCACTTTGGTCTTCCCTTTTGTTTTTTATACGGACACCTAATATTTTTGTTGTTGGCTTACAATGAAGTCCATTAGTGTCTAGGATTATCATATTATTATGAGACAAATGTTGTGAATAACAAGTTTTAGCCTATGTTTGACAACCATTATTTGAAAATTCTTTTTTTTTTATTTGCTCATTTTTAACCATATG